AGGTGTGCGCCTGCGCCCCTTTAGCACCCCAGGAGCTGAAATTGGCCTACTCACAGAGATGAGCAAGTTACTCAATCCAACTACTGCAGCTTCGTCACAGCTCTTAAATGAACTCAAACTACAGCTGTCTATGAAGCAATCGAGAGAAGAAGAATTAAGGGAGCAGATTTGAACAATAAAAACAACTGTATGTGTCTCTGAATTTATGTGCCTCTCCTTTAATATATAAATGATCTTTAAAAATATAATGTAAAAAAAAACACAATATGAAGACAGTGATACCTCAAATTTCCCTCTGTTGGCTTCTAAGAGCTCCTGGCTATTGGACAGCAGCTGCCAAGCTTTGGCTCTGAGAGAGGATGGAATGCCCTTCCTGCAGCGCAACTTCACCTATATCACGCAAACAACACAGGGTATTAGCTTTGACATAATGTTAAGTATAAAAGTAAACAAGTAAAACACACTGAAACACAATCATTTGTTGGTGATTCAAATTTCTAATTTTAGATAAATCCTACGACACAAACATCTGGCAAGCTGCCATGCGTACCTTCTGGAAGCGATGTTTTATCCACTTATCCCAGTTGTTGAACATATCAATCCATTTCATCTCCCTCTGTCTGGCAACTTCAACTCGGACATCCTTTTCACTGTAATAGTGAGTAACAGAAAATTACACCATCGTTGACAGAACTGGGCTGTGGAATTTTTCTTTTTAATATTCCTAAATATAGCAATGCTGTGTTCAAGGACCATCAACAATCACATGTCACAAATGGATTACCTCACTTTCTCTTTAACATTCATTTGCACCACCTGAGCTAAACGGCTCATACACAAGACATCCTTAACATTGACCAGAATGCACTGCCATTACTGATGGTAAATCAATAGACGTTTAATTATTCAACAGTGGGAGAGCAATTAGCTTGTCACAAGAGTAGAAGCACATCTGATTTTTTTTTTTTTTTAAAAGAGAGGAAGACAGCAGATGGGTGTGAGAGGGTGATAGCACTGAGTCACACAGTCAGTACATATTGAGTCACAAAAAAACACTCTCAGCATTATCTTAGTCAGACCAAGGGGAATTAAAGGACAGTCAGATACGTTTAGAGCAGCATAGAAGACAGGAAAGCAAGGACGAGACCAAAAGGAGATGAAGATGTCTTTGGGGCAGATTGATGAGAGTGTGACTTAGATTTTAGGACAAGGCAAAGTGGCCAATTAAAAGGAAGATAATTCAGGCAGAATTTACATTCATCTGTGTAAACTAATTCTCAGGTCATAAGTCCATGTTGTGCAATATTGTAAACAGTAAAAGATTTGTCCCTCCTTCATAAAACCATACTGAATATATATCTCTAACTTTATAATATCTTAGATCTTGACATTAAATATAATCAAACAGAACTTAAAGAATATATGATCAATATTTTGCACATTAGCCAGAAGTAAGCAAGATGTGTGACCTTAATGTCCTAATACATACCTGCCTTCACTGTACTGATTACCACCCAGGAAGCCATATTTATCTGTCCGCCTGACAGTGAGGCCGTTGATCTCCGAGTCTGAGCCAACAGAGCTCCCATCCTCTCCCAATCCAGACAGGGACTCCAACGTCCCTGACATAAGGCTAGCTGATTCCAGGTAGCTGAGGGTATCAGGGGCTGGGCGGGGGTTGGGGTTGTACAGTGGGAGGGCACAGGCTGGTTCATGGATCAATGGGACAGTGGGGCTAGGGTGTTCGCCTCTGGTTGGGGTGCTAGGCTGCTCTGCTTCCCCCGCTTCCTTCGGGTCGTCAGGCTTTGTGGACAGAGGGGGAGGCTGACTTTGGGGGTTTTGTATTTGTTGAATTGGCTGAGGATTCTCCTCTTCGGCTGTTGCTGATGCTGTATTGGTGGATGCTGGAAGAGCAGGTGTGGGATTGGAATCTGCAGTGGTTTGGGGTTGGTCTGCTGAAAAGTGACCAACATCCAAGACAGGATGTGGGGCATGGGTGACATGCACATTTGGATAAAGGTTAGGGCTGGGATTAAAATCAGGAGAGGGGGATGGCTGTTGCTCTTCAATCTGAGCTGATGGCTGACCCAATAGTGTTGGTGCCTCTGTTACAGTATTCATGATCTCTGCAGCAACTTGGTCACTGGACATTGACTCCAGCTTAATGTTATGAACTCCAGTTTCTACAATTCTCCCTGTTGATTCCTCTTTCCGAAGAACCTCAGGTACCAATGATGGGAGGGGGATCTCGTCAGTGGTTTTCAGAGGATTCAGGGGTGGGTGGGGAGTCTCAGGTGAACTCATCGACAGTGATGTAGAAGTGTTTCCAGTCAGAGCTTTGTCATTGTAGAGGGAAGACTTTGGTTTAGCCTCCGGAGCAGAGTTGTTGGGTACAGGGATAGAGGATGCAGAGGATGGAGGGATGGAAGGAGCTGCATGCGGTTCGCTCAGCGCTGATGGGGATAAGGTGGAGAGTTCAGCCATGGTTCCACCCTGATCTCTTCTTTACAATAGAGAGAAAATGATGGAAGACAGTTATTCTTTTGCCAAAGGGAAACTAACCATTACGTAATAAGTGTAGCAACAAACAACCTCTACAACATAAATGGAGACAATCGAAGTACACATCATCTCAACAACAGGATGATGTTGAAAAACTGCACAGGTCAACATGTGACATAAATTGAGTGAAAAGCAGTATTATAGCAGTTTCAATTGAATTAAAACGAAAAGATACAGTAAGAGGAGTGAACTAATTAAAAATCATCGAAAAATGATGCATACAATTCAGTTGAAATAATGTGCAGATATACACAGTCCTATATGCAGTACTATATATTGATTCAATAAACTACTATATATGTATTACTATATATATATGTATTACTATATATATATATAGAGAGAGAGAGAGAGAGAGAGAATAAAACGATTGACAATGTTAAAGGTTCGGTGTGTAAGATTTAGGTGAAAGGGATCTATTGGCAGATATTCAATATAAAATAATCCTTGTGATTATTTCACTAGTGTGTTTCATCTAAATTGTACAAATTGTTGTTTTCTTTACCTTAAAATGGGCCCTTTATATTTAAATACTTTATATTTACATCGAGGGGGACCTCTCTATGGAGGCCGCCATCTTTTTTACAGTCGTCCAAACTGGACACACTAAGCACCTTTTGAGTTTCTATGACAACTGAAGTCTACCACAGGTTCTCTCTCATGATTGGAAGGGGAGGGTGAGGCGTATTCAGCTGCAATATCCAACTTTACCACTAGATTTCACTAAATTCTACACACTGAACCTTTAAATGTGTCAAGCAACATGTCCTATTCACCCACTTATAGAGAAGCTTATTCCACATGGTTAATCTATTTTGCAAGGGTAAATATGTTATTTAATATTATCATTAATAAAGTAATAAATAGCATGTGAAAGCACTCTCTCAGCAGACTTCACATTACAAATTAAAATAACACAATAATATTCCGCTTAATCACAATAATTCTTTACTGTGGGCGAAGCTGCCTACAATATCGTGTCAGCTTATCAACAAAGCGCCATGGAGAACCATGCTGGTGCTGTGTTTTGCTGATGAAGCAGTTCACCGTCTGCAGCGGTGCTCTCAGACATGCTAGCGATGATCACAGCGGCCACTTTGTTGTCACAGCCTCTCTGGAGGCCTCGCTTGGGGCAACTTCCCTCTTCAGCACAAATGAGAGACGGTTAACTAGTAGCTAATAGTCACCACCCTCCCTCCCTGCCTGTCTGTTTGTCTGTCTGTCGGCCAGGCCCAGGCCGAGCAGCGTCCACGGCCTGGTCCACCCCGATGCACCCGTCAACTGCAACTTCCAACTCCTCTGTCTCAACTCACCGGCGTGTCACTGCGATTCGTCCGCCTGGACAGCCAGGGGGTTCCACTCCGCACGACCCCCCGCCACAGCTCCGGCTCCGCAACCTCCTCCGTAAAACAAAAATACGAATCGACCGGGGAAGGAACCGCTGAAAGGGTGTGAGGACCAGGGAGAGCAGAAGTCCGGTAATAGGCGAGCGAGCTAGCTAGCTAGCTAAGTTACCACTTAGCCAGGTTAGCTTGTTTTAGTCTACTGTAACTGTTAGCATTAGCGCTGGTAGTGTTCTGTTTGTTAGCCTAGCTAGCCTAGCTAGCCACGCTCACTGTGCCCGTTACCTCCGTCAGACGCGTAGACTCAAAGAAACCACCAGATTCAAACAAGCGTGTAATGTCACGGTTTTCATTCTGTTGCGGAAAGGCGTCTCTCTGGTGATTTCATCAAAGCACCGCGACCAGCGGACACCCAGCACCAGCCGCCTGCATTTCCTACTGACAGCTACGTACGTGCTCTCGCCCGTGTGGTCGGACACGCGCACGCATCCGCACAGGAGCCTCCCTTCCCCAGCAGGAAAATACGGAGCACTCTCATTCTCAATGTTGTATTTTTCAACCAATCATACTCATTTTTTTTACCGACATCATACTAATTAACCACTTTTCTGTAGTCATAAAATTATGATTTAATAATTGAAATCGTAAAATTGTAACTGATAAATTACAAAATCATTTCTTAAATTAAAAATACTGGCGGTAAATCATACATTTAGAGATAAAAAACGATTTTTAATGTTACAATGGTATTTCGCATTGATGATGTTTTTTTGTTGCACCAGCAGATGACGCAATTCCCTTGCATTACTTTCTCATAGCCCGTTGAGGATTTAGCCATGTGGTGGTCCACCATAACACAGCTGACGTACTTGTGCTTGTATCTTAGCCTAACCCTAACCCTTTAACTAAGTCTTAACCTTAAAACAGCCCTTTGAAGAAAGGACTGGTCAAAATGTCCTCACTCTGTAGGGTCTATGCTTAAAATGGTTCTCACTAAGATAAAAGCACAGGGACACACACACACACACACACACAGGTCCTAGAGAGGTAATGAAAGAAATGAATATGCACACACACATTTTTACTTATATCTTTATGGGGACACTCATAGATGAATTCATAAATAACCAAACCTAACTTGTTTATCCCTAAACCCAAGTGTCAACTCTCTAATGGCTCAAGGGCGAAGGTGAGCCAAAAAAATGAGAACTCACGCCTCAGACCTAATGCTCAAGTTGGTCTGAACAAAGAGGTAAAGATTACACACCTTTCATTGGGCACACACTGAGGTGTGGATACTGGGGGCAGCTGTGGCTCAGGAGGAAGGAAGGCTATGCATTCCACAGTGTCCTTGGGCAAGATACTGAACCCCAGGTAGCCCCAGACAGCTGTGCTCACAGTGTGTGAATGGTGTTAGATAGAAAAGTGGGTGAACAAAAATTTATATAAAAATATTTGGTTTACCACTCCTGCAGGCCTGTGTGTTTGAATAATCTGCAGTGATTTATACACTTCCAAAATTCTTTTGTTCAGGGAGACCATCAGAGGTCCAGTTGGAGATTGTGAGTCATTTTTCTGTTTTCTCTTTCATTCTATGAGGCGTGGAACTGTCCTGAGGATTGCCATGGAAAACCAAAGAAAAAGGGGGACACCCCTTGCATGCTGAAACACGTCAGGTTATCCAAAGGCAACTCCCATATACTCATAAAAGCAATACGGGTTGTACAGCTGGTTGTTATGAAGTATGAAGACATGTTTCCACAAAGCATAGAGGGAGACACGCCTGCATATAAACAAAGATCATCATCTCTATGGAAACCTCTCCAGAGGGACAAACATTCACCATGACACATCAAAATAAAAACATGTGAATGAAACCGCTTATGGGAGGGAATAACCGGAACTTGTAACATCTTTCTGTAGAGTGAAATTAAAATAATCTTTATTTGAAATTCCCAAAACCTTAAATTAAACAGGATCTACTTCTGACAATATCATTTCAACTTGAAATGTTCTTTAAAGTATGCAGTGTACACATTTATATCAATAATATATATTATCATATACATGTAATTTAATGCTTTTACAGTTTACATAGTTACAATGCTGATGTTAAACAGCTATATGAATGTTAATTATTGAACAAATAATTAAACTATATTGTCTGTATAAATAAGCTATAAATGCTGGACATACATGAATGCGGTAATAAAGGTTTTGCACCAATCTGAATTTTGCAATCATTATGCATTGTTTTTACAGACAAAATTAATATCATATATAGTGGTATATATCTGAATATACTCTTGTGAGTCTACATAGCAGCTTCAGATGCATGTTGCATTAGTCAAGGTCACATTATGAGTTTTTGAGGTGATCCAGAGGGAATGAATCAACCCATGTCTGTGTGTTGGCTTGACACTGACCCCAGTCATAAAGGGGGCGATACTGGAAGTAACGTTGGGCTTTGTCTGTGTGCACCGTGAAAGAGGTAGAAGCAACGGCCAATGTGTAACGGTTCAGCAGCGGTGTGAAATTATAAACAGGGCTCAGTATCCAACGGAGCAAGTCGTTAATCGTGGCCAGGAACCAGATCACAAAGAATGGCATGCGGACTCTTCGGAACTTAAACGTGGAGAGGAACAACATGTTGAAATTCTCGTAGCTCAAGTAGGGTGAGTCATCGTAGCAGAAGAAAGCTTCACCTCCGACCGTCTGCGGGCGCTCTTTCAGGGCTCGGGCTGCGAGTACATGCATCCAGGCCACGTTGCCTAGCAACACATACAAATGGATGAATACCAATAATTGAAGAAGTAAACTTTTACATTAAGACAAATTTAAAAATTGAGTAAGACAATAGTTGCTTCATATATATGACCACATTACACTGATATGTTCCCTATCTATCCATCTATCTATTTCTAGGGTTTTATCTTTTTTTATTGTTGTATTTTCACAGTTCATATTCAATTGTTTTATTCATATTCTATCTGTCTGTGCAGATGCTACAACTACTTACAGAGATCTACAGAGTGTAATGTACTCAAAGTAAACCAGTACTGTACATCCTTTTTATACTACAGTTAGGGGCCAAACTGTAGAATTGAATGTATACTACATGTACAACTACAGGTTGGCCCCTACATCTGAAACATCTGTATGTTTTGAGGGTGCTTAAAATATCAGCCACTGATATTCAAATGCAATTCAGTAAGACAACTCATATTCAAATGTTAATGCAACAGTAGAATAGGTAAGTGTTTGGCCTCTAGGAGCCTGCAGGTGGATGCTGGGGTGGTGGAGAGGCTGAAGCAACTGTGCAACTAGTGATGCAGCAGGGGGGGCAAGCAAAGGGAGTGATGGGAAATTTTCTCTGCTTAAATAGACCACCGAATAAGGTGGGTGTGTACTATAGATGATTGTGGAGAGTGATGTATGTCACGTGGTGTATGTCACATGATTGGAGCAGCACAGCTGGAGCTGGCTGCCTGAAGGAGCTCGCAGGTGTTCCATTAATGGGGATGATGATGTCAAGTCATAGAACCAGAACTCAGAGAGCTCACACCTCTGTCTGGCTCTTTAGCACTGAAACGATCGGGTTGAGACTGAACCAAAATGTCATCATCTTATCTTCCAGTATTCAGAGTGTTTATTTCACTGCACACACAGATGACTTGATACTGTTTACGTGGACTTGTTATCACAACAAGAATTCTGGATCCGACTCCTCTGACTGTGCATCCATTTCATGTTTTACCATCTGTCTTTATTCAGATTTTACAATACTGACTCATTGTTGAAACCTCAACATGGTAGACCATCAGGTTTCTTATGTTTAATATTATCTTAACTGAGCGTAAAAAGACTTTCTGTGACTTGCAGAGGAAGTGGCTGCATAACACATGTACTTCTGCTTTTCATCCTGCTCAATGTGCGCAATGCCCGGCTAGACGCACTCCTCTCCACTCAATCGCTGAGTATTTGTGTCGCTCAGGCTTGTCACTCTCTTTTTCCTTCAGTCTTTCTCTTCCCATCTTGTTCTGGCCAGAGAGCCAGGCGGAGCGTAATGCCCAGCTAGACGCACACGGGAACAGGCGCACCTCCTCACCTGCCGAGTATTAGTATTAGTAAATTATTTTCCAGTGTTCCAGAGATCCTAGTGCCTGCCCCATGCTTTTTCCTGTGATGAAGATGAACAAAAACCCATACAGGAGTTGTCTCACTGATGCACCTTCACTCCATCTTGAGGGTTTCCACAGCACAGAACCCTAACCCCAAACTTTAATCAACTGGCAGCCAAGAAAGAAAGCCAAACATCTGGCTCTGGCACATGTAAACAAAAAAAAAGAAGAATGTAGCCTACCTAAATATGTTTTCTTTTGCAATTTATCCAATATCCTGTCCATCCTGTTTAATAAATGTTGACCCTGTTTGGCCCTCGACATAGTCCGAGTTTTTAATTTTGGCCCTCTGTTATAAATCATTAAGTTTAGACTCACCTGCATAGACTCGCCCGTGTTCAGTTTTGTCTGGGACGCCCCCAATAATCAAGCCACCCCTTTCAGCTCCCTGTTTGTAGAAGTCCTTTATCAGCTCATGCCCTTCGCCATAGATCCCCGTCGGCCTTAGGGAGCATGTGTGTAAAAACTTTCCACCTTTCAGCTGGAAAGGAGGCCAAAGTAAGGAATCAGATGAGGAGGTAATCAGAATATGCTCATGTACAAAAACACAAAAAAAACATGCACACGTGGCATTAGACTAAACACCAGGAGTGACAAATCGAGAAAACCATTTCAATGTTATTTTCCAAGCTGTAATCATTTACCTCTGTGCCATTAGCTTCAAGCACCATTTTCTCAGCCTTTGCCTTGCTCTTGGGGTAGGCCATAGTGTGGTTCACTTTGTAAGGTGTATCTTCATTGCCCCTGAGAAAAAAGAAAAAGTCAAAACAGTCAAAGGAGGTATACAGGGGTTTATTTGAATTTGTCATGTATGTGAGAGAAATGTGAGAGTGAGGAAGGAAAAAGCTAAATCTCATCTGTGCCACGTCTCCTCTTGCAGCTTGCCAATCTGTCTTTTCAGCAAGAGCAGAGGTTCATTCTTTTCCTCTGAAACAGCCATGTGATGTGAACAGAGAAGGAATGTGGAACATTCCACTTAGGTACAGCTGTAGCTGTGCACGTACAAACCCAGATATGCAGTCATACACTTGAAAACAAACAACCACACCCTCACACACCATCAGAAACACACAATGATTCCTTCACATGATCCCTGCACCTGATTCCTGCACATGATCCCTGCACATGGCAGCACATGACATATGTCATGTGCATGACAGCACATGACATATGACAGTTTTAACAGAATGTAATCAATGTAACGAATCATCTTAGTCAAATGTATTGGAGTTTAAAGGTTCAGTGTGTAAGATTTAGATGAATAGGATCTATAAATAAAAATAATCCTCATGACGCCACTAGTGTTTTTCATCAAAATTGTATTAATTGTTTTATTTACCCTAGAACAGGCCCTTTATATTTACATAAAGGGGGTCCTCTCTACGGAGGCCGCCGTGTTTTTAACAGTAGTTCACACTGTACCTTTAATATCTTTCCACACAGCCATTAACCAGTGGATACTTTGTGTTTTCATCTATCTCCACCCGATCAATTCTTTTCTCTACCTACCATGTTTTCCATGATGGTGTGGTCTGGCCAGGACAAAGAAAGGATTCCATACAGTCAACACAGAAGTGAAAGAGCCAAAGCATAACCGAAGAGAAACAAGAAAATTATGATATTTCTTGAAGGCTACCTGATAAAGGGGTCTCCATTGACATTGGGACCAATAACTTCCATACTGCTGGTGTAGATCAGACACTGGATACCACACTCCACACAGGCATTGATGACATTCCCCGTTCCTGTGAAGAGAGATGGAGGATACATGAATTGGAAAAAGACTTGAATACTGTTTGGTATCATTAACAAAGTCAAAATGTTTCTAATCTTCCAAATCCGTGGGACTGACCATGGCATATGTACTCAGACAGACAGAATTACAATTGAAAAAACTGCTCCTTTGAAATTGAATTAAATTATTATATAAAATAAATAATTTAAATTAAATGATTATAATGTAATTATATTTAACCGCATTATTTAATTGGAAAAGAGGAGCAGCAGGAACAGGAAATAAAAGAGGCATGTGACCTATATTATGGAAGTTTTCTGGAAGTTGTTGAAAGGAGAACTCAGGCAGCAGCTGGTGTCTTATGCAGAACAAGTTAATGTGGACTTGAGACCAGGAACAATATAACAAATGCTAAAAGAGTAACAGGAGCAATTGTCACCCCCAAGTCTGAAGATGTCTCCCACAGCATCCTGATATATCTTCCTCTGCTTGCGTCACCCATTCTAACAAAACATCCATGAATGGCTAGAATTGCTGTCACTTTCTATGTTACATGTAGGTGTTCACATCCTATTGGATAGTTAAGCCTAAAGCATGCAATCCTTAATCACATTGTGTCGTTACGTCTTGACACTGGTGAAGTACGTGAAAGAGTTGAAGTCGGTGCCTCTGATGGGGCATCTGAGTTAGATATGAAAGTCCATGAGTGTAGACACAACAGTGTACTGTTGGTTGGTCCAATATCTATAACTTGACCTTTGGTATACTGCTTAGAGAGAGAAGGGAGTATTTTGTGGAATTAGACAGGAACTATTACTCCTAATGGTGTAGCAATATAATGTAATATACTATATACATAATATATAGTGGCATATACAGTAATGTGTGAGGATGGTCAAAAATTCCACAACAACCTATTTTTAGGTCTGTTTAGCTGATGAAAACGTGTTTTTCTGTGCTTCACTGAAACCTGGTCTTCACCAGTGGAAACACTTTACAAAGAAATGTGTTCTTGTAAAAGGAGAAAATACCTCTAATTATTACATTACAATTGTTTGAAGGTACATGCAGTTTGGCCTATTTAGACCTTTAAGACGTGTGTTCTGTTAAATCCCAAAAGTTAAACAGGATTAGATGGTAACCTCTGCCAAGGAGGTTATGTCTTCACCTCTGTTCATTTGGTGACTGGATGGATGAAACTTGATGGAAGAATGCATTATGTGTCAAGAAAGAACTTGTACAATTTTGGTGAGGATCTGGATCAGGGCTCAGTTTCCAGGACTATTTTTTTTTTTTTCATTTTTTTTTTTTCATTTTCTTTAACATTGTGAGATAAGACGTGTTTCAACATTTTAACGATTTGTCAAGGGAATGATTCATGGATCTTAATGAAATCCGGCACAATTAGTGGAATGAAATTGGTGGAGCTTCATTGAATTTAAGGAGACTGTTGGGCCTTGGTGGAGGTATGAGCTCCATTGAGTGCCATTCTGGTTTTGTTTTAAACTTAAGTACTGGACAAATGAAATGAATGAATGAAAAGTGAATCACGTTATGGCCAAGATGTCAGGCTAACAAGTGATTACTGCTCATCCTCAAGGGGGCACATGTACCAAATTTAAAGGCATCCATCTGCTACATGTTGAGTTATTTAAAATGAGTTATTTCAATGGATAAATACTTATTCACTGAATAATATGATGAATTGGCATAAATACAGGAAGCTGAAGAACGTTTTTTTAAAAAGAAGAGTGCTGGAAAGCAGGGGAAGAAAAAAGTAAGAACGATTTGAGGAGGATCTGAAGAGCAGCTGTGGCCTCATCCACAACCCATTAACAACTGGAATTGCTGCACAGCTGTTGTAGGCCTATGCCAACGTGCACAGTTTAAGTCAGTAGTATACATATGAGGCTACTGTGACCATTCACCACTGAAATCTAGTGGTCTAGAGCTGAAATCTAGAGTCTGAATAAACATTTGTGCCAAATTAGAAATGGTTCTCTTGAGGCCTTAAAATGTTTACAAGGTTATAAGGTAATGAAAAGTTTTGTGAAATCACAGTGACCTTGACCTCTTCTAATCAGGACGTCCTTGAGTCCAAGTGAATGTTTGTGCCAGTTGTAATAAAATTCAGTGTTCCTTATATACCACGTTTTTAACCACCAAAATCCAAATGAGCGTTTGCACAAAATTTGAAGAAAAACCCTCATGTCGTTCCTTGAGCTATTGATCACAAGGATGGGATGGACGGACAAACAAACAATACGTGTCTTGCCACTGGCTCACACCGGGCTTAAAAACCCAGACAGTGAATCAGAACACTCTTTTCATACCATAATCTGTTAATATGAGCAATATCCTCAGTTTGGATCTTACATGAGATTCACATAAAGCAAAAACAAATGTTTAGTTTTAATAAAAGCATCTGTCATCCTGCTGAAAGAGAGTTTCATTATGTATTTCCTTAGAAAGTCACAGCCAGGGAATAATAACAAATAGACAAAAAGAATTTCCCAAAAGGATGAGGCCGGAAATATTTTGTTTTTGTCATTGTTATTAAGTTCCATTTTACTAACAAACCCAACAATGACGGGATTCAACTATTGAGCATAAGTGTCCAAAGCCTGAAGCATCTTATTCCTTTCATTCATAACAATTAAAAACACAACAATAAAACACAGTATAATACAACAGGTTTGTGCCACATACACTACCCTGCTTCCCCAAAAACTCCCAAGAGCCAAACAACAGTCCCAAACAAAAGACCATTTCTTCTTGTTTTTATAAGAGTTGATAGAAACCACAACATCCAGCTAATTAAGGAAATCACTGAGACTTTTCAAACAATAAAACCATATATGTGACTTGTTTTTAAAGACTGTGTCTCCAAGGAACAAACTGATGATGATTGAGACATAGGAATCTTTCCGGATACCAATTAGTTAGATTTATTGGTTAACTTATTTTATGTGGGTAATGTGTGTAATATGCCAATGACCCTGTATGGAAGTGACCACTGTCAGAGAATTCCTTCATGGTTTTCCAGAGACATAACCATATTTGAAGAAATTCCCTCAAAGCATTCTTGAGATATCACGTTCACAGGAATGGGGTTTTATCTGAGTGAACTACTATACTTCAAAGAGATGGTTTTTAGTATTGCATTCAACTACTCGTTTTATTTTCAGACTTTGTTTCAGACTATGTTGTTTTGCTTGAGGCTGATGTTTCGGGCAAATGATTTACAGCCTCATTTAGTCACAGTTTTTGAGACAGGTTATTATTTCTTTTGTCTTGCAGCTAGATGACGATAAGTCAAACCAAAGCATCACATCATAGCTACACGAACGCACAGACACACCTCTCTGAAGCAGCCACCAACGCAAACCACTCTACAATAAACACAAGTGAGACAGCACATCTCTCATGATCTATCATCCACAGTGGAAGTAGGCGTGGATTTCCTCTACATTTATGGCTTCCCACAGAAAAGAAACACACCCAGCCTTCATCCCTTTTCCCTTTATCAACTTGTCTAACCTGTCACGTTGACCGAGTAGATTAGAGTTTCTGGGACTCTGTGCCAGACATCCACTAAGCTGGCCATGTGGATGACGATGTCCGCTCCCCGCGAGGCCTCCAACACACTGCTGTAGTCTGTGATATCCCCCTCGATGACCACCACCTTCCTCCGCTCTGAGGGGAAAAACAGGAAGACACAACGTCAATATGTGGTACTGTATGTGACCCAGCATCATGACTGTTTCCCTACTAGCTCTACAAAGCATTTCAATACAAATGGCCCTCTGTGGAGCACAGCCTTCTGCCCAGGCCTAACAGTCCCCTTAAATGTAATAAACTCTTGATACCCTACACTGTAGGGCCTACAGAATCCTCAATTTGTCATACAGCAGCTGAAAGTAAATGACTCCACATAATATATTTTTAAATCTGTAAAATCCATGTTTTTTTTTACAAGGATCTACTCACTCATTGATACCAACCCCCTAAATATGTCTGGTTTATTTTTTTTTGAATTGGTATAAAATAGACATCTTCTTCACCAAGGTGTAGTTGGAAGAAATGTTTCTTTAGTCTGCGGCAGAAGATGTGTAGACTTTCAGCTGTCCTGGTGTCAATGGGGAGCTCGTTCCACCATTTAGGAGCCAGGACAGCAAACAGTCGTGCTTTTGTTGAGTTGTTAGCTCACAGTAAGGTTTGACCATGTCCTGGATTTAGACTGGACCCATCTGTTCAAAGCACAGTACGCAAGTACTAGTGTTTTGAAACAGAAGCGGGCAGCCACTGGTAACAAGTGAATGGATCTGAGTAGTATGAGTGAATTTAGGTAAGTTAAAGACCAGTTAAGCTGCTGCATTCTGGATGAGCTGCAGTGGTCAGATAGCACTATCAGGTAGACCAGCCAGGAGGGAGCTGCAGTAATCTAGGCGTGAGAGGACCAGAGCCTGGACCAGGAGCGACTCTCCCTGGAAGGAGATGTAGTTAGATCTTGTCAAGGTTAATGTTAATATTGTGGACACAAGATAAATAACCTGTGCACACAAGACTTTATTTAATTATCTTCTTGCATAAATCACATGATATCCTGTGTGTACAGGATACAGGATATAGATTTACTGTTTCCAGGCTCATACACTACATATTGTGAAATGCACGTTACGAAATGTTTATCATAGAACAACACAAGCATATTTAACAACTTGTATTTAATGAAGGAACAAAAACCAAACAACAAGCAAACAATAAACTCATAGCCACCACAGAGAACATCTGTGGATTTACAAAATACTATAACTGTAAGAACTGTACTCTCCACTCCTGTCTTCCTCTCTACTCCTCCTCTCCTTCTTCTCTCCACTCCTGTCTTCCTCTCTCCTCCACTCTCCACTCCTGTCTTCTCCTCTCCACTCCTGTCTTCCTCTCTACTCCTCTCCTCTTCTTCTCCTCTCCTGTCTTCCTCTCTCCTCCACTCTCCACTCCTGTCTTCTCCTCTCCACTCCTGTCTTCCTCTCTCCTTCACTCTCCAATCCTCTGTAGTCCAGTTTTTAATCCATAAATATTTCGAGGGGAGGGGGGGCAAAGAGGGGGGTGCAGCCTTTGACCCTTAAGACCCTGCTTGCCCCCCCCCCTGGCACCGCCACTGCTGCTGTCCCTTACACCACCAAAACTCATGTAATTTCATGGTGTCTTGTTATCACATATGGAGGTCACGTAGCTGAGGTTTATCTAAGCTCTCATTCACTGTCCTTGTAATGCTGATAGATAACAAATAGTTCTGACATGCAAAGCAACTTTTCAGAGTAAGAAGTCTCCTGAAGTTTGCAATTACATTTGAAACATTTACTAAGTATAGAATGGAAGATGTTTTCCTCCACATGGAAACATAAACCATGTAAAACCACACATTCGGTCTTGTCACTGTCCTCTGGGACACCTCTTATGGGTGTAACTGGGTGAATGTTAGCTGATCCGTCACTGGATCAAAGTGCACTGCATCAGCAGCACAGCCCTGCAGTCTGACAATAAATAATAGAAGCTGAACAAAGAATTTTCCACTGAAGAATGAGGCGTCCCTTGTTGTTAGACGCAGTCCTCACACTGAAACTGTTGTTGAATGTAATTTACTGTATTTATGTAACTCACTACACACTTTCTCACCAGGAGAATAACATTCCTTAGCTTTTAGTAAATTTAATTATGTTTCATGACTTTTCTCAGCAAATAAAGAAAAAAACAGACAAATGAAGGTTCACCCACTAAGTCACAACTCTGGTTCCAACACACACTCTGTATATCATCATAGCAAATATCCCCTTTCACAAAATGCTTTAGTTGTGACAACAACTGCAAAGTATAAAATGACAAGAATATCTGCCTCAGGAAGTGCCTGAGAAAACGCATGACAGTTTGTTCACCAGGATATACAAAGCGCAGCTGTTATCACCGCAGGATAATTTAGTGATTACACAGCATGTGAGGGAAATAGATATCACCATCGGGGTTTTTTTTACTTAACACTTCACTGTTTCTCACACTAATATTAACCCTGTTTCACTGAGACTGTCATAAAGTGCTTCTCACAAGAGTCGCTCATTAGAGGCTCTTGAATGAAGATTGAGGAGATGGGAATAAGTAGCTCAGTGACTAGAGTCTCATGTAACTCATTAATACATTTACATCATACACAATAGGGCAATTAATTAAAACGGGGGAGGGGAATCTCAAGCCAGACAATAAGATAGTAGTGGATCAACATGTTCTTACGGGTCAATGAAATGCTTAACATTTAAATTTTCTACATGAAACCTTTGTATTGTCAAGTGTTTGTTTCATGGTAATTTTGCTTTTACAGAGTTATTTGATCCTATAAAAACACGGTTAAATAAATCACAGCTGCGAATGACTCAATACAGAGGGTCCATCCCTCAGACACTACAGACGTCACAGATGGCAGCGTTCGTGTCTGTGATAATTCAACTTCATTTCCTGATTGGGGAAGGAAGTGGAGATGCATTGTCCATCCATAGAAGAAAATCTCCCAAAATATTAAATTGTTACATCATCACTACCATCTGACATCAGGCACCTGACCAAAGAGAAGCAATGCCGGCCACACCATTATAAGTTAGTGTAATATGTGCAAGTTTGTGATAAAAACTGAGACAACCCTTGATAGGAAAAAGTTCCCCACCCCTCAGTCAAGAGGGTCATCAGTCTCTCTCTCTTTTTTCAGGGCCTTGAGATAATGTATGTTGTATAATAGATGTTGTGGTTTGACTAGAATTAAACTGAACTCGACTGAACAGAGACACTATATAAGTTTTCCTCAGAGAGTTCAATGCATGGTCAAACCTGCAAATGGACACTAAAGAAAACACTGGTGTCAGCTTTCTCGCTTCCTATTGAATATCAGGAGTGTTTTTGTGAAATCACATCAAATTCCAAGCAGGTTCAAGCAGGTGGTAAGAAACACATGTTTAGGCTGAACTATAACAAGACAAGAGCTCTACAACCATGGCTCATATAAAGTAATAAGACTTAATAAAATAGTCTTCTGAAATGAGTCATTTCTTTAAAATTCTTAGTTCAAACTTTAAATTCACTGATCTGTTGTTTTTTTTACGCGTTTACGTATTTTAAACCAAAACACAGCGAAAGCGATTTCCTCTCACCTGTGCTTTGTACGCTGAAACTGGAAGGTATGTGCTTGTCAAACACCCGCACCTCCTTCAGTTCGTCCTCCTTCTCCAGCAAAATCTTCAGCAGGTGCTGGCCGAGGAACCCGCATCCGCCGGTGATGAGATAGACGAGGGGCCGCTGAGAGTCCGACATGCTGCCGCTGAGCTGTGGAGCAGAGTCTGCGTCTGCTGCTGCTGCTCTGAGATCTGTTCCGCTCTGCAGTCTATTTATACCGCAGTTTTTTTTACACGTAACTTTATTTGTACTGTGTCGTGAACAGTGCTGTGAACGATCCTCCTTGAAAATGTCAACAAAATATTCAAACTGATGGAGACAATTTCTTAATTCAACTTTTTAATAATAAAGTCCAAAACTACGGAAGAGGATTGGGGCCACTGTGGGAAAAAAGTGAGTCCTGAGTCAGAATTCTGACTCTTTTCTCAGAATTGTGAGATTAAAGTCAGAATTCTGAGAAAAAAAGTCAGGACTCACTTTTTTCCCACAGTGGCCCTAATCCCCTTCTGTAAAAAATCAAAGGAGAAATTTCCTTCTAAAGATGTTTTTGTTACAAAAATTGCATATTGACATTAAGTCAAAATGTTGATATTAAAGTCAAACTAAATGAGATTTTCTTACAACAAATTCCACAAGTTGTGAATAAAGTTGAAAGAAATCAGTGGACTTTCTTTTTTGCATTTGGAAAAGTCAAAATGTTGAAAATGAAGTCAATCAAATCTAATGTCAAATGTTGACTGAACTAACAAACCTACAGTTCAAAGGTTAATTCAAACACTGTCTTTAGAAAGGAGAACTGGTCAAAGTACATACCTGTGTCTGTTAATAGGAAACTCGCTAACATGATGAATTACATTGACAGTGAGAGCACACAAGCTCCTCCTATAGGCGATATGAACAACCTTAACCTTCCACAGCCATGATACAGCCTCACAGTGAAATTTGAACATAGAAATGTTTTCTCTTAGGCAGGAGTGTTAGAGCAGTTTAGGTAAATGTAAGTAAACGGCCTGGGGTGCTTGAAACAACCACTTAAATGTCAGAAATCCTGCCACTCTCACCAAACCTTATTCATTCAACAAGTTTGGTTGAAGACTAGAACTGAATGTGTGTGATGTGTCCGGGATGGTGGTGGAGGTTTGCACTTACACTTTACTCCTATACTTTTTTTGATTCCAAAAGAATAGTTTGAAGATTAGAATGACTGGGTTTAGTATCATGTTTCTTTTCTTTCTTTTTTTTTAAATAAACACAATAGTTCACTTCAGGGATTTTGCCAGGCTATGTGGCCAATATGATGCTTGCCTGAAAAACAGGTAAATTGGGGTCAACAGAATTTCTAAACGTTAGGTGACATCATGGGAAAAGATTCCATTACACCTCGAACAATAAGGCAATTGTGGTGTTACAGAATGCTGATTTGTACCGTCACCCATGCTTACATATCCTGCAATTTCCAGTATAAACCGGCCTTCCTCTTACGCAGAGGAAGATGATGATGAATAACATTTCCTGCAGTAAAGTGTCTTTTTCAGCTTAAATTCTGATAACTAGTGTATCAGATTTTTTTTATTTTAATATAATAACAGAGCAATGGCTTGAAAGAGACTTGAGATTTTGTAACTCTGGCCAACATCCCCTGAGCTTCCCTTGTCGTCATCTGATGAAATCAAAGTTCTAAATGCTTCCTTTCATGCTACTGAAAAGTTGCATGTGCATAGATTTCCACAACTTCCTGTTGACTCAAACAGTTATTTGCACACTATGCACCTGGTATCGAGCATGAACTCTTAGCAGTCAGCATCACCAGTCACACACATCATTGACATGACTTGAAACCTCTACTTCTACAGCAGGACACTGAAATTCATTTTAGAAAAAAAAGCAGTTTTCATTTATTTAAAAAATATTTTAATGCACCATTAATAAAGGGTCCAACGCATTAATACAAGAGAAATATTGCAAATAATATTAAAATAATCATCAAATTAAAAGGAAAAACAATAAAAAATAAATGAATGGAAGGTATGAACATATTTCCTCCTCATGGAGAGAGGAAAAGGAACAACATATTTACAGCTTGGAATCAGTGTGTTTCTACGAGAAACAAACACCTCTACAATATTTACATGATCTTATTTGATTTTTTTTCCCTCTTGTCTTTTCATCCTGTAGTAAAGAGGGTTGGTTTGTACTGAAAGGCTTCCTTAAGAAATATCTTACACATTTTCCTGTTTGGGCGGGAACAAAATAAAGAGTTTTCTGCTAGTTAACAGTTAAACTTTGGACGGCCAGAGCCATTTGAAAAACAAGAGAAACAAAAAGGGGGTGGTAGAGTTCAGTGTGCCCGCAGTGTATCGCAAACTGCTGAGGCTCATTTTTCCAACAGGCACAGTTTTCATCTTCCACCTGTCTACACTGCAAACAGATGGTAAGCAGGACATTTGTTTGCCATAGGCTGATAAAGCTCATCAGTTGGATGTTTTCTATTCTACACTCAAATAAAAATAGTTAATGAATTCTGGAAAGGGAGGAAAAAAAGAAACTAAACCTTTAAAGTGACCTGACCTAAAATTTGCCTTTTAAAAAAACATCTTTCGCACACACAGTGACTCAAGTCAAACAGCAGAAAATGTTTATACCCTCTTGAAATAAAAACAGTCGCTGGTTAAAAGAGAACATAAGGATGCAATGGATCAAACAGATAAACACAGACAGACAGACAGACAGACAGACAGACAGAGAACCTACAAAACAAATACTTGACTTCTTACAAGACCTTATAGTTGACAGAGTTCAAAATTGGACAAGAACTATTAAAGAAAAAAACACAGGCCAATTTTGGTTGTGCTGATCCTGCAGATGAAATTCAGCAGTGGATCAAAAATAACACACTTTGAGTTTGAACCTAACTGACATATATTTTCACGTCGGGTTAAAAACAGTACTTGAAAGGACTTTACTCTCATCCAGACAGGAGGTTGTGACAAACCAGGAGAGTAGCGCACAGTGAAGAAGGGAAGCAACAGTTTTATAGGGCTGGTGAATCTCAAGCCACTGAGGGCAGTGGTTGGGTACACTGAAGCTTATTTCACTGTAAGATACTTACAGCTAATGCAACTAAATAACAAGACCATTAATAACAATGATAATATTATCATGATATCCTGAAATAAAATAAGAAAAAAGCTTCGAAACAAATCTTCACACTTGGAAATATTGCATAACTGAAGACCAAATTGATTGAAGTTTGTCGTCTGAAAAACCCTGAATTTGTTGGATATTCCTGTGCGTCTGTATGCGGATCTGTGTGGTGGATGGGTTGGTGGGTGCAGGGAGGGAGGGAGGAGTTTACGTAGTCATAAAATACTGGTATTTTCTTTTTCAGTTTTCATTGTCTTCCTGCGATCCTGCTTCCTGGACATTGGCATGGAAATAAAAAGGCCCTTCATGCCTGGCTGCGTGAAACATATTACCCAATCAAGTCTAACAATACTGCCACAGAAGATCTCATGCAGAGGCCCTCTCGTAGTATTCACATGCCAGGTTACACAACCCTGCCACACACTGGTCTGTGAAACTGCCAAGTGAATTTAAAATGTGCGTGAAAAGTGCAAGTGTGTGCGTCTTTGTTTCCTGGGTATTGTGAGGGCTGCTGCAAGGCCATCCGGGGGAGCGGCCGGGGGATATCGGAGGGTGGCTTTTTTTTCTATGCACAGTCTGAGGGGGGCAAACCAGGAGGAGGGTGGATTTCCATGTTTGGCTGGCCATTGGCAAGTGAGGGAGAGAAATGCGTCCACTAGTTGAGTGTCCCACGGCAGTTCTCTGTTCCGCACAGGCAAGGGATCTTGTTCTCCTCCAGGGGGAATTTGTAGTCGTAGGTGATTTCTTCGTTGACGGCGATGGCCTGCTTTGAGTAGATCACAATCTTTTTCTGAGACTCTATGGTGATGACCTTAGCGTAGCAGTTTGGCTAGAAGAACAAGGGGATGAGATACTGATCAGCAACAGCTCTTACAAATAAACCAGAATAAATCTAAAACACAACTCAGGACGCTCAAACTCACAGTGCAGCAGTGGTTGATGAATCGTGCCAGGTTGCCACACTTGGTGGCGTCTATAATTGTGTCGTGGTCCACTCTGAACAAGTAGCTGCTCCCGATGCCCTGCTGTGCGTACCGCTTCTCTCTGTTGTCAGCAACCATCTGGACACACAAGAATTTTGCTTTCAACACTGTAACATTGCATTAACAAAGCTTTACACTATAATGCACTAATAATAATTCTGTTTGTTTAAATGTTGTCGCCAGAAATACAAAACTTTGGGAGGTTGTACCTGTCTGATGTTCTGACCCACATACTCAATGACCATCTCATCAGCAGCAATGGGCTCCATGGCGAACAGGCCCCACTCATGGATCCTGCTGCGTCCAAAACGAAGCTTCTTTTTGCGGAACTGCATGAGGAGAAACAAAGAGCCACTGTGACAATGGTCTTGGCAGATTTCTAAGAGAAGAGCTTTCAGATAATCAGACACATTTCTTAAAGTTCTTCTATAGTTCCAGACAGACATTATATAGAAATGGGGAATTTCTTTTGACTAAAATTAAAAGGTTAGTTCCTCTAAATAACAAAATATTTGTTTTTCAATTTAAGTAAACTAAAGTCCATCTGTATAATAAAATTAGTGGATACATATATTTTACTTTAAACGTAACGTTTGAGTATACAGGCTTTGGTTATGCACAGTTTGCAAGTAGGTTCTAAGTCAGTATTTATCACAGTTCCAGTGCAAAACAGCCAACACCCAAAGAGCACTCTTTAGGGTGGTGCTTTTTGAGGAGAGACATCGTTTGATGTTCCATTAAGATTACATCACAGCTGCTGGAGTGCACAGCAGAAAAAGCAAGACGTTGCAGTTGAACCTGCTCTCTAAAACCAGTGTTTATGTTTGTCAGTGTCTTGTCTGCACCATACCTTTCAGCAAAGTGGTTTACATTAAGAAAATCTATTCAAATATTAACTTGTGAAGTATTCAAACGGCTGTTAATGTTAATTACATTCCAGGGGTTTGCTTTGCTCTGTGTAAACACTGGTTTGCTCATGGCAAAGTGCAGATAATAATTTTTAAACAGTTTTAAAGAGAAAAAATAAAGTGGCAGCCAAATGCTACCTGCATGAACTTTATTTCT